AGGCACGTAGGCTCCGATGGGTCCCACATGCCGGTTGAAAGTCGCTCCATGCAGGCCAGCGGATGTTTTACTGTTGTCGTTAGACATTGCCGAAGCCGAAATTATTCATCTGGATGAACAACATGAAGCACATATATTCATATCAATTTTTGAGCATGTAGTTTTTTCGCCTTGAAAAGACATTAAACAAAGATCATGCTTCTGTGGTCTGAAGAGAAAGATCATCTTGAATATCGGGAACAAGTAGAAGCCTTAATGTAGCTGCTGTACACGCTGTTCATGCCATTGATGATACTGTTTCTGTAGTTCGTGTAGCTGTCCTCGTCTCCGGGGAGGGGCTTCGAGACCAGTGGAGAAATGCTGCTGTTTACTGGTGAGATCGTCCGCACACCATTACGTCCTGGAGACCCAACAACTGCCGATGACCCAACTGCTGATGCAGCTGGACTGATTTTTCCTGCCGTGGTCTCAAGAGGAGCTCCACCTCTCGTAGTCGTGGTTGTTGAAGATGTAGTTGCCATCGCGCCGCCTCCAGGAGGTCCTCCGGTGACAGCTGTAGCTGTGGCAGCTGCACTAGAAGTTGTGTCTCCTCCACCTGTAGTAACATCTGTTGGACTGCTACCATTTTTCACAACAGCTCCTGCATTTGATGTTCCCAGTCCACCACCATTTTGATGATGTTCTGCCGTTGTAGAAGGAACTACAACAGAAGTACTAGTATCCAGTCCATTTCCACTCTCCTTCAACATGTTGCCGGCTCTTGTTGGTGCGCCAGATGTGTCGGATGTTGCAACCAGTGTTACACCCTCGTTCTCAGGAGTCATTATCGTGCAGGGACCGTGCACAGTCCTCAGATATATATTTATATTTAATATGTACAACTACGAAAAATTATTATAAGTTGATAGATAAAAAACATAACAAAAAAAAAATCTATATTATTAAGCTATATTATTAAGCTATATTATTAAGCTATATTATTAAGCTATATTATTAAGCTAT